TATGGATATTGTTAGCTCTAGGTCATCATTAGAATCCGAATCCGATAGCATGAGATTGATTAAATTAGTATGAAACATGGTGAAGTGAAAAGAAAATAGGGGAGAAGTGAAATGCAATGGTGTATAGAAAAAAAATTGATAAAAAAAGAGGCTAGAAATCTAAAGAACAAGGGATTGAGGGAGATTGGAAAATGTAATGGTGTATAGAAAAAAATGATAAAAAAAGAGGTTGGAAATCTAAAGAACAGGGGATGGAGGGAGATTGAAAAACGAGATAGAGGGGATTAACGAAAAAAAAAAGGAGAAAAATTTTCAGAATTAAATGTTTTATAGATTTTGTTAAAATGAAGAGTTAAAGGAGATAGTAGCATTGGAGAGGATATTGATCTTCGATCTCTATAATTAATGGTACTCTCTATTTACATTAAAAATGTTAGCTAAAAGTAGAGAGCACCATTAGAGATGCTCTTACTATTTAAAACACTATACACACATTCACATTTCATCGTTCACTCTCTCACATTTCACTATGCGTTTCATTATTTATGACTTTTTTACGCTTTGGTCCCCGATATTTTAGAATGCATATTTCGATCCACACATTCATTTGATCATCCATTTTGATCCCCGGGTGGAGAGAGAAGGCCGAGAGGAAGAGAGAGAGAGAAGAGAAGAGAGAGATCGTCGGTCATGCTTATTTAAGCCACTCTAGTCGGCGAAAATCCACTAGATTTTTTTATTTTTAAGAGATGAGTTTGTCCATGGTGGTTTAAAGTCATTAAACAATTAGAGGAGGTAGATCGGAGTCAAAAAAGGAAAAAAAATCCCATTTGATTTTGTATTTTTCTTTGTTTTTTGTGTGCATTAAAATGATTTTTAAGGTTTTAGATATATTTATTGGCTTTATTCCGGTTATTTAAAGGTGTTTGGGAAAAAAATGATGCCGAAATTCAATTTCTAGATGTCCGAAAGTTGACCCCCAATTTCTTTAAAAAATGATATTTAAGGGACCACATTTCACTCGTTCACTCTCTCATATTTCACTATGCGTTTCACTATTTATGAATTTTTTTATGCTTTGGTCCTTGATATTTTAGAACGCATATTTCGATCTACACGTTTACTTGCTCATCCATTTTGATCCCTAGGTGGAGAGAGAAGGCTAAGAGGAAGAGAGAGACTGGAGGAGAGAGAGATCATCGACCAAGCTTATTTAAGCCATTCCGGTCGGCAAAAATCCACTAGATTTTTTTATTTTTGAGAAATGAGTTTGTCCGTGGTGATTTGAAGTCATTAAACAATTAGAAGAGGTAGATCGTAGTTAAAAAAGGAAAAAAAATCTGATTTGATTTTGTATTTTTCTTTGTTTTATGTGCATTAAAATGATTTTTAAGGTTTTAGATGTATTTATTGGCTTTATTCCGAGTCATTTAGAAGTGTTTGAAAAAATAATAATACCAAAATTCAATTTCTAGATGTTTGAAAGTTGACACTCGATTTTTCGATGAATCTTCCGATGACTTTGAGTTCATCGAAAGTTGCGGGGTTTTTCTTTTCGGTTGAGTGGCATGCAAGGCTCGGCGCTCGAACCTACAATGGCATGCCCAAGTGTGCCGGCTCGCATGCACGAGCCACTATGCGTAGCCTCTCTCGTTTTTTTTTTTTTGGTTGAGAGGCAAGCAAGGCCTACAATGGCGAGCCCAAGTGTGCTAGCCTACCCGCAAAGGCCACCACGAGTAGCCTCTCTCTTTCCTTTTCTTTTCCTTGCATACGTTCAATCCGATTGCACAAACCAACTAGGCGCTAGTCCCGGTGCGCTTGCAACTAGGTGCATTTTTTTTTCTTTTCTTCTCTCTCTCTCTCTCTCTCTCTCTCTCTCTCATATATATATATATATATATATATATATATATATATATATAAGAAGAAAAAAATTAAAGAAAAAAGGTTTGCCAAATAAAAAAATGTGAAAAATATAAAAAATAAATCTTATTTTTTTATTTTTTCGTACAGATTTAAAGATTATATATATATTACTTTTGTTGCTTAAATTTAATTTTTTAATTATTTATTTTTTTATTAAAATTCACACTAAAATAATTTTTTGATATAATTTTATTTTTTAATATATGATTTTTTAGATGAAATTTTAGAACGTCAATGTTTTATTTTTTAAAATATATTATTATAGTTTATATAGTAATTTTTTTTTACTTTTTAAATGAGTTTTTAATAAAGAGAGAGAGTATAGATATTTAATTATATTAATTTTATTTTTTAAATTACATATAGCAACAGTTTTTCATTTATTTTAATATTATTCATTTTTTTCTCATCCAATTAATTTAAAATTATATGCTCCTCAAATTTTTTATACAATATATATTTTTTAATTTCAAACTTTAATTGTATTGTAATTTGATCCTATTTTATTTTATTTTTTTATTGATTGTTTTTATTATTTAAAATTTACTACTTTAATTTGTCATTTTTTAAAATTCTCGTCCATTTAATTTCAAATTACATTAAAAAATTTAAAATATTTTTTTCACCTTTGATTTTATATATTTTTATACATTCACACCATAAAACAAACTATCAAATTAAAATAATTTTTTTAAATGATTTTATATATTTTATCCAACCCGTAGTGTAGCGTGAGTAAAAAATCTAATCTATCGTGAATGAAAAATATTCACTCTACCAACTACCATGATAAAAAGAATACGCATTTAATGAAAATGCTTTTCAAAGAATGTGTTTGTCTAATTAACACAAACCATGATAATGGTAGTAATATTAGAAAATAAGTCACATTAACAATGTAATTCTTTCAAGTTGGCAATAATGATTGCCAACAGCAAGGAAAAAGATCTTTCTTACTTTCTATATAACTAAAAGATTTGAGACAAATAAACAGTAAAATACTATTTATTTACAGTTCATTTTCCTTGATTCATTGTTCATTGTGTGGTATTTTTGTAATTTTTGTTTTTACCCCAAGTTATATGTATAATGAGTGTTATCATTATATTAGACCGAGTCACCGAACCATTCATAGATTATCCTATTTGGAAAAAAAACCTGTAGTGAGTTGGTCGTTATCATGTACTTATCTTATCAGGCATTTTTATTTTATTTATTTTTGAAAAATGCTATCCAGACAAACTTCTCATGCAAAATTTCATTACAAGCACATGTTGTAGTTACTACTTCATTTCATGAAGGATCAATCATTTATCATTATTCACCATTATTTTACTATTTATCCATTGACACATAAGTTTGTATGCAAATTAGAATGAAAAATGAAAACTAATTTACAAACAATTTTTTCACATTAAATTTTCAAGAAACTAGCGTGTCAATGGATTTGTAGTTCTTTATACAATTAAATTTTATCGAAATCAATTTTATATTTTTTATTGCACTCTATTAACTTCAATATATATTTTATAATTTTTTAAATATTTTTCAATTTATGCTATACATTCAGTTATACCGATAAATATAATTTATTTTTCTCTTTATTTGAATTTTAGAATAAAATTTTAAAACGTTATTGTTTTTTCTTTTTCAAAAAATAAATTGGTATAATATATATCGTGAATTCTTGTAATTTTTAAATGATAGTTGCATATATATAAATATATAATTATTTTATTCTAAAATATTAAAAATATATTTCAAATAATTTATCTCAGTTCACTATGTATGATAAAGACATATAAAAAAAAACTATTGAATCATTATTTTTGTTAAAAAAATAACTATACATCTTCCGACATAATACAAATTATTTACTATGAATATTTTTTTAACATTATAGAACCAATTTATTTGAAAAAAATAATTAAAATCATTTTTTAAAGGAACCAACTAATTATTCAAATATAATTTTTATGCTAATTTTATTGATTATTCTTTTGTAAATAAATATATAAAGATCAAATGCATATACTTTTAAAAAAATCTTCTCACCAACATTAAATAAAAATAAAATTTTATTTTTTATCGGTTAATTTTTATGCAAATCTATACATTAATTGTAACTTTATTTTTTAGATACATTCTTATAAAAAATATTTTTAAATTATTTTTTAATTCTTAATTAATATTTTAGGTTTAAATTATTACAAGTTTTTATTTAAGCATCCCCGAATAAAAAAGAACAAATCATGTTTTTTAAGCGTAAATTGTATGAAAAACACATACAAAAAAGAAAAGAAAAGAAAAGTAATAATTAAATAAAAAATTAAAGAAAAATTATAAAATTTTGAAATGATTTTGTTTTATCTACCCGCAACGTTCGCGAATAATTTCAAAAATTAATCTTCTCATCGGCATTAAATAAATTTTTTTTCATTTCTTAATTTTTATAAAAATCTATCCATTAATTATAAATTTATTCTTTGAAACACAATATTATGAAAAATATATTTTAAAAGTTTTTTTTTTAATTTTTGATTAATATTTTAATTAAAATTATTGTAATTTTTTATTTTAAAATCAATCCATAAAGAAGAATGATTTATGTTTTTTTTAAAAACAGAAAAATTATAAAAAACATTTAAAAAATTAATGAAATAAAAAATTATAAATTTTATAATGATTTTGTTCTATCGGATCCGCAGCGTAGTATGGGCAACCTAGGTTAGTCTCTACTATACAATTTGATAAAAATTTCGTCTTTATAAAAACCTTAACTACCAAATTTCTAATGCTACACTCTTTAAAATATGTATATTATTTATCATTTTTACCAATTACATAAACACACGTAAAAACCTAATCAGGTCACTCTCTTTCCCATCAAAGAATTCTTCAACCCATAAAAAAACTTATTTTTCAGATACATTATGCAAAAAGAAATACCAAAAAACAACTAATTTCCATCACTTTAATTTTTAAAAGAACTTAGCGTTCGTTGTATCAGAAGCGCAAAGCCGGAATTAGACTTCATCAAGTTTTTATTAGCCAAAGCACCAGTTCTTCAAACAATGTATGTTGAACCATCTCTAAGAACAAATGATAGACTAGCACTTGAGTTTTTAAAAGAGGTGACTCAATTTCGACGTGTATCAGAGGCAGAGGTAGTATATTTTGATCCTTAGCTAAAGATAATGATCCTTAATTCGTCTTGTGAATGTAATCTTTTGCTATTTTGTCTTATCTAGCTGCCAGATATCATATTGCGCTTTTCTCAACTACTGTGCATCGAGGGGTTTGTCAAGCAAACCTGTATTCAGTAATACTTTCAGTCCAGTGCTAGTCCATTTACATTAAGGTTGACAACCTTCTTCTTCCACGAAAAAAAACTCTTGATGAATATATACATTATTGAGGTTCTAGTTATGGTTCTAGCGCATTTACACCAGTAACTAAAACTTATTTCGAGGACACAAAGTTATTCCCAGATTTCATCTAAGCGAATCGTTAACCAATGGGCTTCATTAGGTAGGTAACCGACATGTGAATAATATGCCAAAAAGAGACGACATTCGCTTATTTCTCTAACACAAAACGCATCGTTTCGATACGCCAAGCCCATCACCGTAAAACACTCTTTATTCGGAGTGTGTCCCTCCACAGCAACAACCACCAGAAAGAAAAGGTAAATTATTCTTTAATCCCCGTATTGTAAATGCTAATGTGATTTAGTCCTTGATTTTTTTAAAACCCATCACTGGTAACCTCTTTATGCGTTGTGTGTCCCTCCACCACAATAACAACCAAGTAAGAAAAAGTAAATTATTCTTTAGTCTCCGTATTGTAAATACTAATGTGATTTAGTCCTTGACTTTTCTAAAAATATAATTTCAGAACTCCATTTGCTAACATCGACGATAATTTCATCACCCTATAAGTATAAGATCGTTTTTCTTAATTATTGTTTTATCAAAAATAGTTGTTGGATTTAATAAATCTCAAAATTATCATATAACAATATAAATTCTTATCAAAACAAGAGCATAGTGGGGATTTAGGATTAAAACAAATAGACAATTCTAATTAAACAACGGTCAACCAGATTTAAAAATGAAGTTACAAGTTTTGAGCATGAAGGATCGAGTTATAACTTTATTTAAACTGAAGGATCGAAGAATAATTTACTAAAAGATAAAACGTTAAAAATGGCATGACCACTTCCGGAACCAAAACGACAACACGAAGAAAGACAGCAATTTTTCCCTCGAAGTCCCAACTACTGCTACTACTTCAGTGCTTCTAGTTCTGATCTATCTAGGTATCTCTTTACTCTTATTTTTTTACCCCTCTTTTACCTCATCTTTTTACCCATCTGCCAGTGACTCTGAATTTTATGCTCTCTCTAATCTTTGTTGCATGCATCGTTTTGGATCTCTTCTGTTACAAATTTGTTGAATCATCATAAAAGACACTTCTTGCAATAATTAGCTCAATTTTATAATTGAAATAGATTGCTGATGATGATAAGATTGATTGTGGTTCCTTGCTTGACCCAGTTATCAAAATTTGGATATAAAGTTTATTTTTTTCTTGAGAGCATGTTCTGTTTAAGTTTTGCCATTTTGCGTTTGGTTGCCAAGGAAACAGAAGGGGAATTGGGTTTTTTTTTTTTTTTTTTTTAATAAAGTCAATTTATAGGCTCAATTTAGTGGTGGATTTCATTTTCTTAAGTCCCAGACGATGAAAGTTTCTATCTTGAATTGGTATCCTTTCTTGTTAGATTTTATCAAATTTGAGGGAAAGATCATGACATTCTTTTTTTCTTTTCTTTTTATAATGTTTGGTTGTTACATCTGGTGGACTATAAGAGTTGGGTTTGCGTTGTTTTGTTTGTTCTATAAGCTGATAGGTGCAAATGGGAGATGTTCAGGATCCGGATTTGATAAGTGATCTGCCTCAGAGCATTATAGAGATCATTCTCACTCGATTACCAATAAGAGACGCTGTAAGAACAAGCATCTTGTCAAGCAAATGGAGGTACCGATGGACTACACTTACTCACCTTGTTTTCGACGACAAATGTGTTCGGATTTACAGTGATAGACCAGTACTTGAGAACTGCATGGTCAAATTCATCACTCGGGCACTGTTTCTTCACCAAGGACCTATTCACAAGTTCCAGCTTTCTACTTCGTTTTTGCAATGCTGCCCGGATATTGATCAGTGGATACTTTTCCTTTCAAGGAGTGATATTAAAGAGTTGGTACTTGAATTAGGAGAAGGCGAGTGGTTTAGGGTACCATCGTGTCTTTTCAATTGCAAAAGGTTGACTCGTTTGGAGCTTTTTCGTTGTGAATTTGATCCCCCTCCTAGTTTTAAAGGATTCTTGTCTTTGAGGAGCCTTAGTCTTCATCAAGTTTTGGTTGCTCCTGAGGCAATTGAAAGTCTGATTTCCAGTTGCCCGCTTCTTGAAAGTCTTGCATTGTCATATTTTGATAGCTTAGCTCTTAATATCCGTGCTCCAAATCTCAAGTACCTGTGCTTGGAAGGTGAATTGACGGATATTTGTCTTGAAAATACCCCACTTTTAGTTGCAATGTCTGTTGCTATGTATATGAATGATGATATTGCTGAATACTTTGAGCAAAGTTCAAGTTGCAACTTCATCAAGTTTCTAGGTGGTGTACCTCGTCTTGAGAGGCTTGTTGGGCACATCTACTTTACAAAGGTAGCACCATGTCATATCCGTGCTCCTGTGTTTTGGCAAATGAACCATGAGGGATCTTGCAAAAATATATCCTAACGTAACTCTTACTGTCATCCTCTTTTTTTTTTTTTTTTTTTGGTACTAGTATTTGAGCATAGGTGATTATCCAGGAACACTTGCAATCACCTACAGCCGCCTAAAAATAATTGAATTGTATCAAGTTAGTTTTGAAGATATGAAAGAGATACGTGTTGTTCTTCGTCTGATCGTGAACTCTCCTAATCTGAAGGAACTTCAGATCTCAGTAAGTTATGTTACACATGTTGGCATCTTATTTTGTGATTTTTGGTGAAACTATAATTCACTTGTGCATTGTTTTGTACATTAATTTACTCAAGATTGGTGCACACCTTTTGTTTTTTCATCTGTGGTTTTTTTGTAGGGCTCATCAACCACAGTGCCTCCTGTAGAAGCACCGGATTTGGAATTTTGGGCGAAAGAGTGCCCTAAAGATTGCACTTTTAAACAACTTAAAGTTGTAACGATGACAGATATTTCTGGTGTGCCACATGAAATGGAATTTATGAAACTTTTGCTTGCGAATTCCCCAGTGCTTGAGAAAATGTCTATCACACCCTGTGGATATGTCATCGATCCGAGATTGAATATGCTTGTTCAGTTGGTCAGGTTTCGTAGGGCTTCTGCTGAAGCTGAAATTATATTTATCCAAGACGAAACGCTGTGTATTTCGTGAAGAGCCTCTTTTCATGTGGATATTTGTGAAATAATAACATCAATGCAGTATTAGTACACTGCACATAACTTATTACCCAAGATTGACGGTGTGCACAAAATCTTCTCAGTTCTTGTATATTGCCCCCTCATGCATGCTGCAAAATAAACTTTGATTTCTGTAGCTCAAAGAACAACAAAGAATGATACAGATTTATGTACTTATCTTTTCTTTTTATAACGTACTTTATAAAAATGACTTTTGTTTTCTCTGGGTTTCTTAAATGTCTGAGGAATCTGCCTTGCGTGGTATTAGTACACTGCACATAACTTATTAGTTTCCGTTCAGAAACTTTGTTTATTCTGTGATCTTCTACATCAGTTGAGTTCTTATAAATCAATTGATGATGGCCATCATTGGCAGTGCGCATCTTTAAATTTTTTTTTGCTTTTGAAATTTCCTGTAGCTGAAGAGGGGGATTGGCCCCTGTACCATTTGATGAAAGATCACCCTGCAAGACAAAACTGTCTTTCTAGCTACCTGTCTGACCATGAATTTGTGTCCCAATAAACCATTTAACTTTCAGGAGCAATCATAATTATCATGAATTGTCCAAGATAAATCTCTCTTCAGAGCTCAAAAAGATAATATTTAGATCAGTAGGAACAAACTTTATTCGAAGGTTATCATTACAGTAAACCCCAGTAGAACATCTCCAAAAAATTCTTCACTCGACCAACAACGAAAAGAAAAGGAAAAACATTTAACGCTCCACTATGTCATGTTTTCAGATCCCGATTCTGTACAGTCGAATTTTAACACAGCTTCAGAGCTCCAATATGTGGCTAATGTACAACAAGCTTGTTTTCACACAATGTATCACATCTTTTGAAAGTTGGTAAATCTCTGTTTGAAAATCATGTCACCTGGGTCCAGAGAGCTCCATTGCTTGGACAAGTAACGAAGAGTCATCAGTCAGATCAGAATATCTTTCTGAAGAGGAGAACTCATTGGCTCTTGATCGAGTTGCTTCAGCTCTCTGAGAAGCTTCCCACTTTTCAGCGAGCCCATCTCCTTCTAACATCCGAACCACTTCTGACATTTTAGGTCTATGAATTGGAAGGTATTGGGTACACAATAGAGCGACTTGAACTGTTTCTTCAAGCTCAATTCGATCATAGTTGTTTTTCAGATCCTTGTCAACTAACAACTCAAGCTTCTTTTCCTGATGAATCTTCTTCACCTGTAATTAAGATCATAAATTCAGTTGGTTGAGAAATGGGAGTAGTCCAAACTGTATCTAAAAAGTAAAGCATGTTTGTTTCGCTTACCCAGTCAAGCAATGCTCCTTTCTGGTTTGTTGACTTCCCGAATTCCAGAGCTCTTAAGCCAGATATTAATTCTAGCAGAAGTATTCCAAATCCAAAAACATCTGTTTTCTCAGAGGACTGGCCTGTTGATAGATACTCAGGAGCTATGTGCCCCACAGTGCCCCTCACAGCTGTTGTCACATGCGAGTCCCGGTGATCCAACATCTTTGCCAATCCAAAATCTCCTACAACAGCCTCATAATAATCATCAAGTAATATATTTGCAGCCTTCACATCCCTGTGAATTATCTTGGGATCACATTGCTCATGCAAGTATAGTAAACCTCTTCCTGCTCCTAAGGCAATTCTTTTCCTCGTACCCCAATCCAAGACAGGTTTTGCTGCAAGAGAAATGATAGGCACAATATTTATATCTCGATTAAAGAATGGTCAATTATATTTCAGTGACTCACAAGTTGTAGAGCTATCTTGATGGATGCATTACCCTTGAGACGAGTAGCAACACTCCCATTGGACATGTAAGGATAGACCAATAACCTTTCGGTTGTTGTGATGCAAAATCCATAGAGACGAAGGAGATTTCGATGCACTGCTAGGCTGATCATCTCAACTTCAGTCTGGAATTGGATATTGCCGCCTATGGCATTTCCATCTTTGAGCCTTTTCACTGCTACAACAGTTCCATCTTGGAGATACCCTTTGTAAACATTCCCAAAACCACCTTTTCCTATTAAGTTCTTGCTGCTGAAGTTGTTTGTAGCAATCTGAAGTTCTTTGAATTGAAACCTCTTCAAGTTTCCAAGGTTGAGTTCTTCATGATGTTGTTCTGATGTTTTTCAAAAGAGAAAAATGTTAACAAAGACATATTTGTTGCTATCAAACACTAGATTTTGCTAATGCTTTGCATTTTTCAAGTCAATTTATGCCCTACTAACCATTAACATCAAAGAATATTTGCTGGTTGTGTCTTTGTCTCCACCAAAGAATGAAGCCAAATCCAAGAACCAACAGGCAGATGCAGCCTAGGCTTGAACCAAAGGCCAGGGCAATTTTGTGGCTCTTGCTATTTCCAGAAGGCTGAGAATCTTAAGGGAAAAAAAAGGCAATTGAGCATAATTTAAAGATGAGTATGATTTTCAGAGAATAATATAGAATTTAAGATTTGAAATTGTAAACACAAAATGAAAGCAGCACAATCTCAAAAGCATTTGACAGCCTAGAAAGATAACACAATCATGAGCTTCAAATTAAAGTCAAAAGCAAAAATAATTGCAAATTAAACAAGAAAGCAAAAGGGAAGCACAACGACAACTTCTTTTAGAACAGATGAAATTCAAACTTGAAATTAAAAAAGTAAATTTGTAACGGGCGGGAAAGACAATTACTTTGTGAATTATGCACGGCCAAAGATTGCGGAACTGGTGTGGTTCCAGCACAGCCTTGCTCAGTTCCGCATATCAGAGTATTTCCTACAATGCTATGTCAATAAAAAAGCAACATCAGTTAATTTATTTCTGGAGAAGAAATTACTAGTTTCCAATTTTTCTGTTTTGATCGGGGAAAAAAGAATCATACAAAGATGAATAGGTTTTAGGATTGACTTACTTGAATGTTTTAGCATGAACAGGTGGTACAGGAATACTCAAATTATTGTAAGACAAGTCCCTGGAACATCAAACAAAATCCTCAAAAATCATATAGATTTTACTAGGAAAAAATAATAGAGAACAATAGCAGAAGGATAAGGGTTTGAAGATACTTACAGAAAGGTAAGTTGAGTCATGTTAACAAAAGAGGCCGGAATTGTTCCGTTGAGACTGTTATTGTTCAGCCTCCTGGTCCGAATTCAAAAACTCACTGTCAGATTCAGACTCTTAAGAAATTTCTAAAATTAATCACCTCCTAATTATAAAATTGCTATGAAAGAAAGAAAAAAGTAAATATTGCTATTTATGTATACTTTGAACTTACAGGTAATGGAGGCTATTAAGATTGGACAGAGTACTAGGAATTTGACCACTGAAGTTGTTACTGGAAAGATCAATTGTTTTAAGCTTTGGGAGCTTGCCAAGCTCAGAGGGTATATGTCCTGAAATATTGTTATCCTGTAGAAGCCTGCAAAATATCATATTGTCAAAAAAAAAAAAAAAGTGAATTATAATATCACACTTCCTAGAATTGAATACTCACAGAGACTGGAGATTTGTCAAGTTTCCAATAGATGGTGAAAGAGTGCCAGATAAACTTTGGCTCGGAGCTCCTCTGCAACAAAACCAGTTTTTAACTACTTCAAGTGCTCTTTCTGACTTTTAACTTTCATTAACACGGGGTGCTTTCATTGTATTTCCTTCTGAATTCAGCTTAGTTTTGGTTAGTTTAGTTACTACTTACAGGCTAGTGACGAAACCATCAGTAGAGCAAGTGACCATGGCCCAGCTGCATGGATCCACAGCATGCTCATCCCAGTTAAGAATATTATGAGGATCAAGCAAGGAACCTTTAATGCCCATCAAAGCTTCCACTGAGAAGAAAAGGAAAAGATAAACTTACTTCAAGCTCTTAACAAAGATTTAGAAGACATATTCCAATTCTTCATAACTGAGAAAAACTCCAGTTACCTTCATAGTTAACACCTGTATCTGTCAGCTCTCCATGTGCAGTAGTCCATAGGCAGACTAGCAGAGCCACAAAACAGAAAAGAGCATTCTTTTTGCTTGCCTCCATTGAATCAAAGGTATAAAACCAGATGCTATAATTGCCAAAACCAGCTTCTGTTGGATCAAGACTGGTGTGAAATACTTGAAAGATTCAACAAAAACGAAGTTGATGTGGGCTTTGTTTTGTCTTGGTATTCCATGAGAGCCAGGAAGTAGTACTACAACTCCTCATGTTTTCTTATAATTGCACTAACTCGCACCTTATGTCAGAGTGTCCAAGAGTCAAGAAAACAAGAGGTTTTGGTAGTAGGACTAAAACTCTAAAAGAGAAGTAACATGCCTGCCACTGGTTCAGCAAAGTATGAGAAATATATAAAAGCTATAAGCTGCACTAACCAAATCTAGATAATATCAAAAGATGATTGATAAAGCAAAAATTCCTCTTTCAATCATGCATTAGTGCACAGAAAAGGACTGTTGTAGAATTTATCCATTCTATACCAAGATTTTAAAAAATGTGGAAAAAGCAAGTGAAGTATTAACTGTTAAGCATTGTAACATCTTATACTCGAGAACATTTTAATGAAAATCACTTTGTTGGGCAAGGTGAAAAGAGAGAGTGAGAATGAGAGTGGACAAGTGTTGGGATTTGCTTTGTTTTGCTAAGCTTCTACTGTGACCTGTGGGAATCCAACATTCCCTCGAGTACTTGGCCATTTTCTTATAGTAATTTTAAGGTCTCAAAATTCCATTCTTCTTCTCCTACTTTTGCTTTAATTATTATAAGAGAAAAAAATGACAATCTCGAGGGAATTAAACTTAGAGATTTGTGATGTAGTGATTTGCCTCTCGTGATATCTTTGTTGTGTGAATTATTTCTCGCATTTGCTTTTCTTCTTCTTTCGTTTCGTTTTTTAATTGAATTCGCCTACTACCCCAGTAGGGTTTTGCTTTATTGATTCTAATACAATCACGTTGTCTCCACAGTCAACAGACGGTCCCTATAGACTATCCTAAAAGCAGCCAACTTTAAAAAGCAAAAGCTCCCTCTCTCTTTCTTACTACAGATTACTACATGTAGTTTTATACTTGTGGTAGGGTCCTACAGAATTAGTATCGCTTCTGCATTCACTGCCATCTGATAAAGCTCAGATGGTGATGCTTGTACATAACCATAGGTCTGTATGCGTTTGAAATGGTTTTTAAAAATGGACATAGATTGAAAAAATACATAACCATGAATTTTGTTTTTAAAGATATTTTAAGATGAGAAAACGACAAAACCATTGAAAAGCAAAGGACTGTTTCATTTCAAACGTAATTTTTGTAAAAACACAAACAAGTGATTATGAAACGCAAAGTGGAAGTTGGGGTCCAGTTGCATACAAAATACTGTTAGAAACAGAGTAATTATAGATAGCCCATGCTGTAGATGGATGCACGTGCAATGCAATGCAGAGCCAATAATGGCCTGTTGACTTGATGTTCAACATATTTCATGATCATCATCAAATGGAAGTAGCATATCGACGTTATCGTTAATGATCTCCGACATAAAGCTTACAACCAAGATAAGGGTTAGGACTTGATATTCACATTAACTTCAAATGCAATTTATGTCTTGATAGAGAGGATAACTTCCAAATCCATTTTAGTTCCCATCCCATGTCACGAAGATTAGCTATTGGCTAAGGGATGTGCATGATTTCCTAAGGCCAGAAGCAAGCAGCATTCGACAGACACTTCACCTTAAATGTGTCTCAACTGGGCCTCGGTACACAAGTTGACTTCAGGTCTCTATAACACAAATGATAGCTAAAGCATGGTTGTTTCTTTCTTTTTGATCAACCATTTATAGCCAGTTGGAGGAACTTGTGGGAAATATGAGCATCTTAATGCAGATGGCGAAGAGCATATGCATATAAGCCACAAATAAATAAATAAATAATAATAATAATAATAATAAAAGATATTCTTCTGAGATATCAGGCAGGAACTTTGGATGCATCCAAATAGTTTCTGTATCTTTCTTTGGTGGTGATTGATGAAGGATTTAAAAGCCAAAAAAATTATAAAAAAATAATCACACTCTCTCTAAAAGAAAGTTGGATGCTGTAATAAACGAAAAATAGTCGGATATTTGCTCCATGCACCACTTTTAAATTGCATGAAAATTGCATTCCAACTACTTGAGAAGAAAATGTTCCTGTAAGGTCGGATTCAGATTAGAAAGTCAGGGTCCCATATTACCTACTTTGAAATGGCACTCATCTTTCTTGTGATTGGGACGCTGCACACTAAAAACATAAAATTATGGGAGAGAAAGAGAGTGGTAGGACCAACGCCAGTGGATGGATTAACATTAGGTGTAAATTATTAAGGAGCAAATGCACTTCGCGTACGTTGTCCACTCCCAACAACCAATTAGCATTCCATTTAACGGATCCTTGTTTTTTTTTTTTTTTTTTTTCACTTGAAATTTCGACAAAGATCTGATGTCTTTTTCAGTCAACTCAATTCCTGCTTTGCTTAAGCTCCACTACCTTAACTTTAACTTTTGCTCTTCCTGATTTAACATAGCTAAACTTACCAATCAATACCACAGGAAATTGGCAATGGCAACCGAGGGCTTGGGGTCAAAAGAGGGGTATAGTCAAAACAAGTGGGGCCATAAAGAGAAGTTGACTGACAATCTTAATGAAGATATGCAACATGGACATCCACAAATGAGTAGGAAATAATTGCTCTTTTTTACCTCTTGGTTTGTTTGAATTGCATAAAGAGAAGAGAGAGCACCATTATTCTTCGTAAGCAAACAATCTGTACCGATTCACATGACTCTGGATCAGACCTTGTCCCTCAAAAATTAAAAAAGAAGACATTAAAAAGCATCCAAAATAGTTGACACTCTCTAACCCCACCTTGTACCCCAATTACCTCAACACATATCTTCCATCACCCACTTTAGTTTTGTACCTAATATACGTGATCCTCCCACGGGCCAACTACAGTGTCACGTACTCCTTGATAGCTTTAGTTTCATGACAAAAACATTCTAAGGACAAAAGTAATGCTAATAAAATGCTTTTTTCATGTCATTTATACAATGGTAAGTGATGATTTAAATAATTTTTTCAGTGGGGAAAAATAGGGGAAAGTTTTTTCGAAGGAACAAAGAATGACACTATGAATATTTATAGTATAGTGCTCCTAGAGAAGCCTACGAAACCATAGCCCTGGCAACAAATGCATTTCCTTTATGAAGGCAAAACGGAAAAAAGCACACCTTCGATGATTAAAGATTGGTTTCGTATCATTTCCTTTTTTTAAAAAAAATAAGTAAATAAATTTCAAAACATAACTAGAAAACTTGTTTGTTATTGTTTTTTGCTTTCAAATACGTAAAAAGAAAAACTAAAAATTGGTTGTCAAAATTTTTCTAAACCAAACGAAACGATTTAAAAAAAAAATTGATGACAATAATGGTTGGTTTTGCTCTTTTTCAAGAAAAGAATTCAAAACAAGCAAATTTTAACGAGTAAATGTGATACGGTTAGTTCGAAGAAGATAATGAGTTAGAGCTAAAACCGATGAGCTGGAAATTATTAGCCGACAAGGCTAACAGGTGATGGTGACCTAACAAGTGAAGTCGTTAGATTGTTAGTTGATTGTTAGTAATTAGTTAGTTTGTTAATCGGGTGGTTAGTAATAAAAGAGGAGTAAAGAGAGTGTGGGAAATTAGTTAAGCAAAAGCTGGAATTTCTCTCTCACCATTCTATTTTCTTCCCCCTCCGGAATTCTTGTTCTTCATACTATGTAATTCTTTCATTTCATTGTATACGTTGTTGCATTGATTCCATTCTATACATTTCTCTTATTTCAATCAATTTTAATATAAATTCACATTTCATAATTTGTTCTTGCAATTTTCTCGTTAGTTTACTTTGATTTGAATTATGAGTTGAATCAATTGGTATTATAGTCGATTATAACACTTATGGAACAAAACAAGTGAACAATCATGGCAAAAACAGGATTTGAATTGAAAAACATGGAAAAATCAATTACCAATCTCATAAAGGCTATTATAGGATTAACTCGGAGGTGTGATTCTATATTGATTCTATATTCATACGACATGATCAAGAAATTAGTGAACTAAAGGAATTGATTAATGTAATCAAGAATCCAAGTAGTCGAACTTGTATCGGAGAGAATGAATAGTAATGTTAATGAAGTTTTAGGCAAGGTAAATGGTAGGGGTTATCAAATGCCTTGGTAAAGATACCCTAGTAATCCTACTAGAATGATGAACAATAATTTTGAATGAGTCGCTCGAGAATAAAACTACAACTACAATATTGATATATCTAAAGTGGAAATTTCTAGATTTGTCGATGATGATTTTGAAGGTCGGGTATTTAAATGTGAGAAGTTCTTCATGGTGGATAGAACACCGGATGAAGCTAAGGTACATTTAGCTACTATCCACTTAAAAGATGAAGCATTGGAGTGACATCGAGTGTTTGTGAAGATGCATGGTGTTAAAGATGTGATTAAATGGGAAGAATATCTAGAAGCAATGAGTGTACATTTTGGAGTTATGATCTTCGGTGATCCTATAGCGAGAATTGATGGGGCTTAAACATACTCATGATGTGCAATCATATTAATTATCAACGATTGAACCTACCTAAAGATTACATTATAAGTCCGCTTTATAGGAGGTTTACATTCCGAATTACAAGTGTTAATGAAGGTTATGCGACCTACAACTTTTAAAGAAGCAAGTGGCTTTAACCAAGCTATAAGAAATTAACCCTAACTTGTAACATCACTCCTATAAATTCAATATCAAATTCTCAACCACTTATAATCCGAAACCCGCCAACTTAAACCGAAACTTAACACCAATAATTACAAACCTCAAAATTCTACAAACCAAATTCCTCTAATAAACTTTGGTCTTATTAATGTTCACAATCCAAAAAGCTTAGTACCTTTACTCTCTCAATTACAAAATGGCAACTCTGTTTTCGAACAAAGAAGTTCCCTAGTAACGGTGAG